AAACGTGATATTCAAATCATGAAATTGGTTATCACCAATACCGGTATATCGTCACACCCTAAATTAACACGATGTCGATATTTCATGATTTGAATATCACAGTTATCGACAATACCGGTATTGTCGATAACCATGATATTCAAATCATGAAATATCGACATCGTGTTAATTTAGGGTGTAACGATATACCGGTATTGGCAATAACCACAATATTTAAAATGAAAAGGACACTTATGATAACACGACACACAAATAGCCTACTCCAGCGCCAGTACCTGGTTGAGCTCCCAGGTGGCAGTATTGCGCCTTAACGCTGACACCTGTCAAACAAGAAGAAGACGCAGCGCACGGCCGCGCTACTTCGAGAACAACCATGTTCAAAATTATACAGAAAGTAAGTTGCCATTATTTTACTAGACATGGAATGGGAAATGTTACATGTTAACCTGTTAACAGCAGTTTCCTGTGTTCATATATTTAAATAAAGGGGTGATTCTTTTAATAAGTACTGCGTTTTCTTTACTCGTCTAATTTTTGTGTTTGTATTTGCATTCAAGTCATGGCCAATACATGTGCGTAGCACTTGATTTCTTTGTTCAAATCTATTACACGATTAAAACAAATCTAGAAAAACTGAGCGACCACATTGCTACATTAAACTCTGTAAAATGTTAAGTTGGTCGCAGTGCCACACACTTAAGGCCCGGGTATACTTCACTTTCTGCGTTTCGTTCGCACAGCTTTCAAAGCATACTCATCCGCGGATGAGCGCGGATTTCCGAGTTCGAACAAGGGTTACAAGGGTATTTGTGATCTTACAAGGGTAAATAAAGAACTGGTTGTTTCAATAAGTTTCGCATAGTATTTTCTTTACTCTTTACTTCAAAATCTATGTCTAAAAACTGTAATATTTCATGTATTTGAGGTTTGAGATGTGGGAACGGTGAAGAGAGAGAGAGGGCAAACATTTTGCATTTTAGGTCAGCATTGCTATCTAATCAGCCAATATTGTCTTAAATAGCCTGCATAGCACTTGGGATTTTGACCAAATATATTCAATCTTGATTTTTGTAAAATGTTGCAACAAGATGTTAATTTTTTTGTGAAAAATTACAGTTTTGGACATAAAAGATAATAAAAAATATTTTTTTAAATACCTTAAAGTAACTACAAATGAGCATGTAAAGCAAATATCTTTAAAAGAAAGTCTGTTTGGAGCATGCCCCCGATGTCTCACCTTTTTTCCCCCTTACCTGTTTGCATATCTGGTCTCAGGTCAGCTGTGACCAAGTGAAAATGCATGTACCTTGTGTTTATCAGTATCCTTATGTTCATTGGGTAAAAAGAAAAACTAAATAAACAAAGTAAAAATTTATTTGGCTAATTCCCCAAGGTTTCTATAGATATCGCGATATATCGAGATCGTGAATTATTTTGTCCACAATAACCGTGGTGTGAAAAATCTAATATCGTGACAGCCCTAGCGCGCGCTAATGCAGCAAACATGACGGCAGTGTGGAAACATTTAAAGCTGTCTGAGAAAGACGCAAAAATCATTACAAGCACCGACAGCGAGAGACTGTTTAGTACTGCAGCGCATGTCTTCGATGAGAAGAGGAAGGGTGGTTGTTGCTGGTTACTGTATGATGATTAAAATCGCGAAATGCCCTTAAACAATTAAATAAACTGCAGAATGTTATGTTTTCTAATACACGCAGGAATTGCACGTGTTCAAACAGCGCTGCACGAGCTCGTGGCGGCAGGGTTCAAAGTCCAAAGCGCGAGGGAAATCTGCGCTGAAACTGTGTTACTCGTCAGCTGCTCAGTAACATTTTTATGAATTTTTACAAGGCATGTGACAATGCGATACATGCAACAAATGTCTTCCCAAATTCGTAATGAGAATCATTTGTCAACAAAAAGAAGCACTGAGGTCTTCCTGCAGGTTTCTGCCAAAATAAAAGTTGAGAAAAAGCAAGAACTCCGTCAACATTAATAAATGTTATTATTGTAATTTTACTGTTGCTCTGTAAAATAAAATAAAAAATGAAAATAATAATTACAACAGCTCTATT